ACTTTGTTACAACTCCTGATTCGGTCCCTAATTCAAATTCAGTATTCAAAACTTTAATGTTCTATCATTTTTTTATTTTTGATCATTCTATTAGTTAAGTATTGATGTGGGACTATTCTCAGTCAAATAATTTATTTTTTAATTTGAAATATTATGTAAAAAATATTTAAAAACTGAAATAATAATTGTGTTTGTGTGAGTGTGGTGCTTTAAAAAATTTTCATTTATAATTTAGTCAAAATTAGTGATTTTTTTTAAAGAGGAAAAAAAGTCATAATTAGTAAGTTCAAAGCCCATCTTTGATCCAGAGATTGCAATAGAGGAATCATAAAAAAAACCATGATTGGTTAGTATAGTAGATATTTTTTATTAAAATTATAAAAAAAAACTACCAAATTTAGTATTGAGGTTTAACTGTTTCTAATATTTTATATAAGTTTATCAATTTTAGTTTATTTTGTATCGGTTAGTTAAGGAATACCCACCATCACCAACAAATAAAGAGAGCAAAAATCTTACTACTTTCATAGTACTAAAATGCCCAACTCTGTTTAATGAGTTGCTTTTACAAAGTTCCAAGAAAACTTGTTTTCAATGAAGAAGGCGAAACTCAAACAATGACCTAAGCTGTTTCAGCAGTAATCTCATCATTGAATTCAAAATTGATTCTGGCCTTGAAGTTGCCAACTTGTTGTCTATTTACATCGAAGTTGAGCAGCCGGACTTTGAAGACGACTCCTCTATTTTAGTTGAAAGCAAGGTTTTGAAAATCGGATTGGTCGGTGGGACTGGTTGAACCGATATACGGTAGTCTAAACAGTTCGGGTGCATTCTTCAAATCATGTAAATGATTAAACCATTTGAAACTGCTCATATTGATAAACCGTTTAAAACGGTTTGACCATTCGATTCAATGTTTGGGCATAAAATCTTGAGAAATTTGTCTCCGACGAGTTTGAACCTTAAAGCCTTTATTTTGATCCTTTGCCACTAGGACGATGCAATGTTTTGGTTGATGGGTGCTTGAACTTTTATTTAACCATATAAATCCCAAAGATTTTAACTATTGATGATAAGCATGAGATTCGAACACTCATTTTCCATGTTGTAGAACAAAGATTTTTTCACTTGTACGTTCATTTTTCAATTTGATTTATTACAATACACTTATTCTACTTTTAAAGCAAAATTATATTAAAATTTGTTATCAAGGGGACTTAACTTCAGATCCCTCTTATAAAAAATCAACAACTTACCAGTGCAACCCACCTGCACCTTTTATAATTAAGTTAAAATATCAAAAAGATTAAATATTAATTGAGATATGTAACTAATTTTCTACCGTGCCACTTCTCTATATGCAAAAAACCACTGACGCTAGAGTTAATCTTAAAAGAGTTGCAAAGAGACTAAACATTGATTTTTCTTACTCTTATTGTATTAATATATATTAAAACTATTTTACAGTAATTAAATGCCTTTCATTTAACCATTGAGAACCCGTGACCCGGTCGTCCACCAAGTTAGCCGAACTTATTATATTTGAAAAAGAAACTTAAAGATGGTTGGCTTGTGGTTTACCGTAATTTGCTTATTTATTTATATTTTATGGAAAGCAAATGGAAATATTATTGGAATGATTCGATTGGCCGAGAGTACGGCATTAGTAGTCTTTTAAACCTGAAATATCGTCCAAAATCCTACTCGAAAGTCGAACCCTATAGTAGGAATATGGATGTGGAGAAATCAAAAAATTTCCACGTAATGTTTGTTTAAATCGCGTGCACTTGGTTTGAAAATAAATTATTAGACACAAGACGGTTTCCTTATGATTTTTCCTTGAGAGATAAGGTTGTTGAAAAACTCAGGTCCTTTTCATGCTAGGAGAAAAGCTAGCGTAATGTATACATTGAGATGTGGAGAAGTGAAATTTTGACTCTTTAATTTGAGTCACAGCTCTAATTTCACCCTAAAGTATTTTAATAGATAAATTTAATATTAATACTTTATCTATTATAGAATAAAAAACTTTATTTTATTTTTAGTTTGAGAATTTGAGATAATTTTTATTTTTATTTATTTTGTTTTTAAAAATGAAAATAAAAATAAAGTAGACCTTTCTATAATAAGATAAATAATTAAAATTAAAAAATAACAATAATGTTAAGGTAAAAAATATATCTATTTTCCTTTTCTATGGTGCATTGGAGAGGTAACTACTTGGCATTAGAGATTTGAACTCCTAAACTTAACTTCAAATTTTAATTTTTTGATTAGTAAATACTAAATTGATCAAACTCTTATTTGTAATATTTAACTTCTTTAAAATATAAAAAAATAATTATTATTCTAGAATGAAATGAGTAATATATACAATAACTCCATCAAATTATTTGTTGAGTCAATTAATATATGTAATAATCTTGAGAAGGAAAAGAATTAAGCGTTTAATAATAGAGATTCAAGTTTTTTAAGATGGATTGCATATTAAAAGTGCACTCTATTTTATAAATTTACTTCAATACTCTTAATAAAAGAGTATAAGAAATAATTTTATTAAAGGTATTTAAGTAAATTTACAAGGTAAATTACACTTTTAATGTACAGTGTAATATGTCTTATAAAATACTTTTTTATTAATAAAATACTATTAATTTCATTCATATATTGGATTTTGTTATAGAAATGGACTCATTTGATATACAAAATATAGGCTGAATGTTTACATCTACCACCTAAAGTTAACTGTTAAGGAACGTTTTTAAATAAAAAATAAGGATAAATTTATACACAAAATTTTTAATTTTTAATTTTGACCAATTCACACCAAACCTAACAAGTGAATGTTAAACGTTGGCAAAAGTCATGGAATTCTCTGTTTTTCTTCTCCGCTTAACTAGTTGAGGTGGACTCCTCCCTACGTCCTTGCAATTTCAATTGTCAAATGGTGTGATGGTCCGATGTTCCAGAAAAAAGGACGCCCAAATTATCCCCCAAGTTGCACCTGCACCATTATCCAACAAGAATCTGTGTGTTCCCTTCATTGCTTATAAAACCAACCCTAGTTCTCACGCTTCATGCTCCTTAAAATTTCGGCCACTACTTCACAATAGTAAAGGTTTTCCAATGGATAATTTGGCGGTGGCTTTCCCAACAAGAGCTGTTACTGGTTATGGGATTGCCTCAGGGAGGGTCAGTGCCTCCAACCGGCACTTTGTTGAAGAAATGCCCAGAATTGAACCAGGTCGGAATTCAAGACCGTTTCTGGCTA